GTCTTTTTCATCACGTACGTACTTGATGTAATCTTACGTGATGCGTTCAGGGTGGTGCTTTGGACGGGAATTGGGATAGTTTCAGCACCACGGACAGCGACAGCTGGATCTGAGAGTGGGGGGGGGGGCGTCCATTGGTGGTCGTCATTTACAAGAAGCGCGCGCCGGTGTGAACCGCAGTGGGAGGAGCCTGGGAGATGCCGCATTTTTCTGAATGGAATTACTCCCCGTACACCCCCCCCCCCCCCCCCCCCACCACCACCATCCTCCATCCTCTCCGCATCCCAATTGCCGGCGCCTGATTGGACGAGCCTCCCCCATTCAGTGACGTCAGGCAGGCTATCTTCTGGACAAGTCCCGCGCAAGGACACGCATTCTGCCTCCCGCAAGCGCGCCGACCGCATCCGAGGAACGGGGTCTCGTGCCTCCAAAGTTTGACGAGGACGAGCGCGCGGACACTTTGCAGTGTGGACTCATCTTCCTCGTTCGGTTTTTGGGATTTGATCAACGCACGACACAGATCTGCTGAACCCCCGTTGCGGAGAACCCACTCGTGCCTAAAAAGGTAAGAACAGTAAATCGCCTGTATGGATGTTTAAAACGAGCACGCGTGTCCACCGGTGCGTGTTTTTTGCTGAGGACATCCTCTGCGGTGCGGTTACGCAACAGGGTCTGGCGCGCGAGCAGGTGGGGAACGACCCCCCCACCCCCCCACCCCCCCCCAACCCCCAGATGTGGACTTGAGCATCATGGGGGAAATGAAAGACGGAAAAAAAAAACTTTACATAAGACGTTCTTCGTGTTTAAACGCGTAAAAATGATCCCAAAATGTGTTTCGCGTCCTCTCCGGATGAGGAGAACCTTTTGCCTTTTGGCAGAGGAGGGGATCCCGCATACCAGAAAGTACAAGCATCTTAAGGCCCTGTTGGTCGGATTCCGATCGTCTTTCCTATTTAAGAAATAGTCAAGCCCGGCACATGGTGTCTTTTTTCCCGAACTCCATGTTTGAACATTTGTTAGAGGGGGGGACACGGAAATAACCAAGAGTCGGGAGTCCACCATGCAGGCGTAAATCTTTTTTGAGGATGGATGGAGGACTCAACAGGCTAGAATTACAGAATTACAGCCACTTGCTGTCTTATTGGCGTATTAAGGTGTACATAAGTGTCCATAACCTTGCTTGAAACTTAGGTATTGATTCATTTTTTTGTGCTTGGCTTTAAGGGAAACTATGACATAGTTGGAAATATTTTTAAAAAAAAACAGCAGGGAGGAAAATGAAACTCATCTTTTTTGGGTTTTTTATCTAATAATTGTCCAGTAAAAACATGATGGAGAGACTAAGAAAATAGCAATAAGTTTTGGTTTTAGGACAATAATCAAGAATGAAAATGCAAATTCAATTTAGATTACATAAATTAGATCAAAACTACAGTTATTAAAGAGTGGATGTCTAAACCAAGCTGACTTCATGCTCTGATGGTGAAGTTTTCCATTTTGTCCACTGCATTAAATCCTCCAAATCTTCGTCAACGCCACATCAGGCCTTCGTTGACCCCACAGATCCATACTTCCTGTTTCATGGAAGCACGTTAACTGACCTGATCTCGTTTCCCTTTCAGGACCGGCCATGATCGTGAACGTGTCGGAGCTGGTCTGGGACGAGTCCTCGGGCCTGGGGCCCCTGGAGCCCCTGGAGTCCCTGCTGCCCCTGGCCCCCCCGGCCCTGACGGCGTGGGGCGTGGCCCTCTGCGTCTCGGGGACCCTCATCGCGGCGGAGAACGCGGTGGTGGTGGCCACCATCCTGGCCACGCCCTCGCTGCGGGCGCCCGTCTTCCTGCTGCTGGCCAGCCTGGGCCTGGCCGACCTGCTGGCGGGCGTGGCCCTCGTCCTGCACTTCCTGTTCCTGTTCTGCCTGGAGCCCAGCGATTGGTCGGAGCTGCTGACCTCGGGGCTGCTGGTCACCTCGCTGAGCGCCTCGCTGTGCAGCCTGATGGGCGTGGCCCTGGACCGCTACCTGTCCCTGAGCCAGGCGCTGACCTACGGCTCGGGCCGGTCCCGGCGCCGCGCCGCCGCCCTGCTGCTGCTGGTGTGGGCGGCGGCCTGCGCTTTGGGGGCGGCGCCCGCCATGGGCTGGCACTGCCTGGGCGAGCCGGGCTCCTGCTCGGTGGCGCGGCCCCTGACCCGGACCTACCTGTCGCTGCTGTGCGGCGGCTTCCTGGTGGTCGTCGCGGCGACCCTGCAGCTGTACGCCGGCATCTGCCGGGTGGCCCGGCGCCACGCCCACGCCATCGCCACCCAGAGGCACTTCCTGCCCGGCGGGCGGCCGTACGCCGGGCGGGGGGGCGGGGGGCGGGGCTTCTCCCGCCTGCTGCTGGTGCTGGGCGTGTTCGTGGGCTGCTGGATGCCCTTCTCCCTCTGGGGGCTGCTGGGCGACGCCTCCAGCCCGCCGCTCTACACCTACGCCACGCTGGCGCCCGCCGCCGGAGGCTCCCTGCTCAACCCCATCCTCTACAGCCTGAGGAACAAGGACATCCGCAGGGTGCTGCTGCACGCCTGCTGCCCCCGCCGCATCTCACGCGCCACGCACGTGCACAACCCCGTGGACGTGTAGAGGGACCCACAGCAATACACAATCACATTTATATATATATACATATCACTGTTTATCTGCCAGGAGGCAAAAAAAAGCTGCTCTCACTTTCATCCACACAAGGGAAAACTCTATTTCTTTATCTAAAACACACACACACTCACACACATACACACGCACACAAACGCATTACACAACACTGAGGCAGCACTTTTAAGACATGGAGACCCTGTTTGAGTCAGAACGTACCGAGCCGCCCCGATACGGGACTGGAAGTGCTGCCCTGCCTGTTCTTTGTGCCTCAGTCCACTGTAGCGTCGATGGATCGCCAAGTAAAACAATCCCACGGACGCACAGGAGTGGATCTAACGAGCGTCAGCGTCTAAAGAAGGAGAAGAAACTTTAGGTCTTTGGACACAAGGCCGACGTGTGCGATCCAAAGACAGTTTACTTACTTGAATGTCTGGAAAACACAACGTTCCAGATCTTTGGAATTCCATTTTGCACATGCTAATAATAGCACTTTTTTTAAAGGTACTGACCATATGTTTGCATTGCACAACCTTTTTGAAATGGATGAATGTTTTATATTGATGAATAATAAATCTTTTTCTACTGGTTGACGTCAGCACTGTTCTCATTCCTGCTGCAGAAGCTTTTAGGGTTCTCCCCGTTCCTCCCCGTGTCGGTGCATGTTCTCAGCATTCACCGCATCCTTTTAAAATAAGTAGCAGGATTCAGAGATTATGCAAGATGTTTTCTCTCCTCCTACTCATTCTCTCAACCCCGAACGCAGCTCGTTTCCAAACCCCCCCACACACGGTCCGCGCCAGGCTCTGTCAGAAGGTTTCCACCACCGATATGCAGAGGATGAGTCACGGGCTGGGTATGTGCAGTCATCAGCAAAGGTGTAACACTCCCGAAAAATGCAAACCATTACTTACATTTGCTTACTTTTTATTGGAATAAATCATTTGGGAACATAAAAACAGCAGAGGCAGAACTTTGGCGGAGCATGCTGTGTGACTGTGGAAAGGACAGACTGAGGATAAAAGGCACTTTCATTTAAACTTATCAATGAAACGTCGTGATATTTTGGTTAGAGGCTGATCAATGAGCAGTGAGGCTAACCAAACTAACACAGGGACACTGAAAAGCTAGTAAAAAAAAAAACTAAAAAAGGCACTGGACCAGGCAACGGGCACACCGATTCTATAAATGGAAAAAAAAAAGCACTTCAGGAAGAAAAAAGCAACAACATGAGAAAAGCACATTTACATTAGAGAATAGAATCATACATGAGGAGATTGTCTGCATATTCTCAGTGTGGCACCCTCACATGAGCCAAAACCTCTCAAAATAACACATGATTAATCAATGTTTGTTTATGATCTACAACAAACCATCTGTTTCCATGATTTCCACTACAGAAACAAAACAATACTGAATACAAAACAGAAAAAGAAAGAATGTGACACCTGTGAAAAGAGTTTCAAGTGATTGACTTGATTAAGTTTAGTAATCAGAGATCGAGATGTAAACTTTACATCGGTTACACACTCAACCTCTGGACCTGTGCACCTGACAAGTTTGAATGAGTGGAAACAGGAATAAGTTGGAATGGGTTTCGAATTGTGGTAAAAAGCACTTGGAGGACAGAATCTGAGTTGAG